CCCCCCCCCCCCCCCCATTGGTCTGCCACTGGGTGTGACCAGGTAATGATGTAATTAGCTAGTTAATCACATCTTAAGCATAATATGTGCCAGGGTTCAGAGATATGTCCATTTAATTCTTATGATCCTGGGAATAATGAAACGATGTATTTTGATTATTTTTGTTTATCTTGGTTTTTTTAATGCATAATGGGCAGGTCTCCACATCACCCTACGGTGATGTAGTGACACACTACGTTGCCATACGGCGTGCTATGGCAACGTAGCAATCACGCGGGTCTACACGTCGCCGTAGTGGTGCACTCCCTGGTTATAGGCAAAATCTAACCATGCGCCATGTGCAGGGCGCAGTAACTGCCTGTACTGCACCATGCTTTAGTACTTTCAAAAGGAAGTACTAAAGCACTGCACTGAAGCAACATCACTGTATGGCAAGGTGTAGATGCACCCAATATGTGATATAGCAAATTAATGCACAGTCCAATACATTTAATATTTGTTTTTGCTCTGATTTGAAATTAACTAATGTAGTTCTAGGTCACTATCTTATTAAGAAAGCTTGTAGTTTCTTTCTAACTTGATAAAAATATGTGTTTTGTTATATGTGATAATGTACCACACCACCTGCATTACCTTTTTCAAAATCTTAGATCTGCCTGTGACATTGTCTGCTTCTAATTCACTCAAATTCACTGTCTCTCCTTGCCTCAGTTTCTTTTTAACAGTCCTCCAACAATTATCATGTCTTACCTTGTAGATCACCTCCTCAGCCTTTGGTATCATCCTACCCACCTCCTGGATGGCTGCTCCTTCCTTCATCCATCCTTCTCAAATACCTCCTTAAATCTTCCTTACCTGACTTGGCATCATATCTCTGTTTTTGTTTTAAGTGTCTTATAATCAATCCTTTTCTTCCTTGATATACACTTTCCTAAACTTTCCCGTACTCCCTTCCATTACTTACCTAAGGCTACGCACACTTTCTTTTTGACCATTGCATATATCTCTCTAAGCCTTCCATAATACTTACTTCTTCTAAAATAAATGTGGGTTCCTTTCTTTGGTCTCTTTGTGTTAACCACGCTCTCTCTTTTCTTGTGTCTCTGTCATATTTCTACTCCTCTTATTCTTCAACTTCTCAGTTATAACTTTTTAACAATGGTCTTCACACTAAGTGCTTCTGGACTCCGAAACAACAAACAGCAGTGGGCAGTGAGGAGGGGAAGTCCCATTGGACCACCCCTTATCCTGTCAGAGAGGTGGTGTTGCTGTGCTACCACATATTGATCTGAAGTACAGGAGCCCCAGAAATTCCTCAGCCAGGTCTCTTCATTTCATATTCCCTGCTCTAGTGAGCCAGCAGCAGAGTTGGAAGCAGAAAAGCTCTCATAGGCCAGGGAGAAGAGGCAGATTAGAGGGGGTTGTGCTGCTTACACTCACTCTTTCTTTCATTTTCACTCCATGAGACAATGATAATTTGTCTTCCATTAGATGATTTTTCCTCTTATATGCTATTTTTTCCATCATACTGACTGCCAGTTACCCTTTTCCTACTTCAGTAGATTGCTCTGAGATTATACCTGTACTCCTTCACTCTGATTTTTATCACATCTTAACACCAGTTCTAAACACGTTCATTCCTATCCTATCATTTGAGTCCCCGCCCCCTCCCTTTTTTATTCAATTGGACAGCAGTTTGTCATACTCTTATTATTTGTCACGTTGCAAAAACACTACTTCAAGAATCAGTTTGGCACAATCACTGGTTCCACCTCTCACTCATCCCTTGCTGTGTCAGGCTGCCAGGATTTATCTCTACCACTCATTCGTTATCACTCATTCCCTCCAT